GCTTTTGGGGATTTTTGGAGAAATCAGTTTTATTCCACTGTATATTTTAATATAACATGTAAGGTGAATATATTTTGCAAAATGTACAGGCATCTAGTGGCATAGTTGCAGATCACTTCACCATCCCCTATCCAAGCGTGTAGGAGAAACTGAAAACGTGAGCAGCATCTAGAACCAGTGATTGGTTTGTCTGTTCTGGGCTACTCTAGAAACAGGGACGCCTCCATGGAAAAACATAACAACTCTTCTATTTAGGTGATTACACTCTAAGTAATACATAATTATGCATTTTATATTCCATTTCTGCCTCTTCAGTGTTGCACACTGGCCCTTTACAGTAATGACATTATCATCACTCATAAATGTTCCAGTATGATGAAATTCCAGCAATATATAAATGTTTTTATTTTGAAAAAATGTAAAAGTGAAATGTACAACAGGAACCAGTTTCTACTGAAACTGTAAATAAATTGCTGATATGTGAAAAATGGGGAGTTTCAAGACAGCAGGAGGGTGTTTCACAGCTCACATAACCCTCACGAATGGACCTCATAAAGAGCTTGCTAAGCATGCTGGGGGCAGGGGAAAAAAAGGGGGAATGACTCAGATTTGTCATGTTTACCTCTGTTCTCCAGTATAATTCTCTATCTAATTCTCTTTCCAGGCCGGCAGGTTTAATGTAGAATCCAATCATCAGCGTCCATTTTATTTCAGAGGAATAGCAATGTTGAAGAAAGTGGGGGAGGGAGAGAAAAGCCTTTCGTGACACTGGAGTGTATTAAAATAACAAGGCTTGTGCATGAAATGTTGCATGAACACAATTCTAAGTAAGGATGCTTGTTATTTAAGAGGCCTTGCCCTAAATGTACAAGGGCAAAGGTTAGTCATCCCAAGAGGGCCGGGTCAGCTGCAAGTCCATGCAATTTCCCCTTAATCCATTTTAAAGATTAATGTCAAATCATGCCACTGTGTGCATGCTATGAACTCCCATAGTGACTTAGCTGGAGGCAGCGTGTGCCTCTCTGTGTACAGTATGTGTGTGCGCTGTACTGCCTGCATGCATGAATGTGTCTGTGCATTTACTGTATACATGTAGAAGCCCAACTTACACTCTGACAGAAATCCAAGCCCAAAAACAGAGAAGAAATTGAAGAAAGGTTGCACTTTTAGATGATCAGTCCTTCCTTTCAGTCCCCTCGAAGAACAAATGAAGCCATCCAGACCAAACTGACAAAGAGTAACACCTGATGAAGCACTCTCTTTTCTCACTGCCCAAGGAAACAGAAACAAATAATGTTTCAGCCCAAATAAGATTTTCACTATTCTCTCTCACATTCCACAGAACACTTTAATTGTGCAAATCAGCTCTTGTCAGCGGCAATGATGCAAGACGGTCTTAAACTCGAGAGTGCTGCTGCCAAAATGAACTGTCCTCATTGATTAACATTATCCATTACCCCAACACTCCTTTGTGGAACATTATTGCAAATCTAGACAGCGAGAGGGATGCTGTTTACCTTGGCAGTCTAGCCGGCTATCCGTCATATACGGTAGCAGATTGGTTGATAACTGCAAATAACACTTACTTATAAAATAAAAAACCTGGAGTCTTCCATTCAGATATTTATTGCACAGAGCCACATTTTGTTTTTAATGACTGTGAATCAAACTAGTTATAATGTTACCATGTACTGTAATTATGCACACAGCCTGCTATATTATTATGCTCAGTCATGTACATGGTTGATTAAAGGTTTGTTTACAGATATGACTGAGCCTGAGTTTCACTGAATGCTAATTGGCAGACTTAAATGAGAATGTGGGTTATTATTTAGGATGACAGCTTTGTGTATTTGTGTACACAGTATGTTTGCATCTCACAGGGCTATTGACAGTGCACTCTGAGTAAAAACAGCTTTGAGCATTAGCCATGAAAAGTCAATAGCAAGAAATTAAGACAGTCAACAAAAATACCAAACACTGGACGGCCAGGGTGGATGAATCTGAGAACATGAAGCGGGATGGATTTCGGGATTGTGCTACCAAGCTTATATGACAAGCAATAACATCAATATTTATAGGAGGGCCTGATGACATTGTTTGTGGTGGGCACCAGGCGCCGGGATCATTCCCAATCCTTCATTCCTTTTTTAACAGATTGTGCTGGCAATGAGAGAGCAGACACGTGGCAGTGGGCCAGGTGATGACTCTGTGTTGATGGATGTGGCAGCCATGACGAGGGGTAACCAGCTTGCCACGGCTATCTGGATCATAGCAGACAATGTCAGAGCTCTCCCCGACTTGTCAGGAGAACAGCATTTTATTAGCTGACAACACTGAAAAAACATTTACTTTGTACTGGAACATGATTTACCGCTAGCACTGAGTTTGGCACTGACATTACAGGTGTTACACACAACATATAAATAATATGATCTGACATCATGTCAGGGCCAAAATCTTGCAGGGAACTTACCATCACTATAACATTTTTACTCACCCACAAATCAGAGTAGTTTTTATAAGTTGTGTAAAGCGTAGAGCATCGGAGACCTTCTTCCCTCTCTCCCGAAAAATACTCAAAATAGCACTTTTGAAAATATTCCCAAGGTGGACATCAAAGAAGTGGGTGAACTCAAAGGATTTAATTTTGTGAGCAACTATTGTAAGTGGCTTCACGATGAATCATGTATTTTCCACCTCATTCATAACAGAGAAAAATCCACTCCTCTTTCTGCAATAAATATCTGCCTGCATTCAGAAAATGTTTTCAGGCCATCATATGTGGAAAATATTAAAATGATTCATACATAAAATTTGTATAAATAGTCTGTGGCCCATTATTACAGAAACTTTTTTTTTTCATTACCTCCCTGTTAGTCCTGGTCTTTTTCAAACATCTGAAGTAATTTCTTGTAATTTGATTATTTTCAAATTAAATCAATCAAATTAAAATGTCTTTTTGATCTGTGTTGCTATACGTAAATAATGTGTTACAGGGAAACTGCAACACTTCAAGAAAACCATGAAGATCAATCTGGAAAATGTCAGGTGGCCTTGTGAAATTGATTTACCCCTGATGATCATGTAGAAAACACGAGAAATGTATGCTATATCTCCTTGATTGATGCAAAAACCAAATGTAAGAATGGCAATTTTCCATTTTACAGGTTTGTTATGTGCAATATTATTCCTTGGCCACAACTAGTAACTTCCTGGAGCTGTTGCAGGTTGCCTGGCAAACTGCTCCCGTTCATATTAAACAGACAAAATATAACGTGTTAATTAGTTAACTTTGGAGCTGCTGGTAGGGGGATTTAGTTCAATTTGGACAGAGGCCAGTTTTCAGTGCTTATGCTAAGCTAAGCTAATCGGATACTGGCAACAACATACTTGCCATACATATACATGCATACTCTCTAACTAACTCTCTGCAAGAAAATAAATAATTGTATTTCCCAAAATGTTGTTCTAAGTACTTGATAAACTGTTTCCCAAGCGTTTCTCCCTGAGGTCAACCTGCAGAGATAACATGCTCATGTCAATATCCTTTTCAGAATTTCACTTTCTAAAATTTTTTTGTAGCATGTAGTCTAATGTGTGCGCCTATCCATACAGCCAGTGAAATCCATTTAGCAAAATCCATATGGCACTCAATTACTATTGTGATGACGCTGTGCAAATGCTTGACATCTGTGAACTAATTTATGAAAACATGAGACAAAATGCATCTGACGACGTTAAATGTCAAACTAACGTTCATGGTTGGGATTTGATGAGTGACAGAGCTCAAAGCACTGAACAGGACTGAAATCTTCTTTGACCCAGGAGAATACAAGATACGAGCATGTATTCCATCCCTCACATTTCAAGAATCTCTGAATGCAGAAAGAGACCCAGGGAGGAAACATAAATTATTTGGCAGTGAATACATGACAGTGAGATGATGTGGGTTTTTTTTTTTTTTAAGGCAACAGGATATGACAAATGAGAAACAAGTCAGGTGAAGAGTAACCTATCAGTAGATTATCAAATTAATAAATGCACAAACATGCATGAAGATGACAGATCGCCTAATGGGGAATGTGCAACATATTTCTAGCTGGAGTTTTATCCTGAGGTGCCGCTGGAAAACTTTCTCATGACATTGAATCCTATTAACTGGGTATTCATCTGCAGAGATTCTGAATAAACAGTAGTCTGCATCATAAAATAATAAATCAAACATCCTCTAAAGTGACATGGTGTGAAGCAAAGTTTGCACACATGAGTATTAATCAATGAAAATAGCAGCAGCAGTACTTAAGGAGGGTCACACCATCAGTCAATATGTCCGCTCTACAGTTATTACCATGGCAGTGATATATTTGTGACGACGGCTGCAAATGCAGATAGCTTAGTATGGAGTGTGGACTGGCAGCTGGAGAGGTGCCAGTTCCACCTCCTGTGCACTGCCGATGTGCCCTTGTGCAAGGCACCACCTGACCCCTGACTGCTCACGGAGCACTGTTACGTGGCTGCCCGTCACTCCACCATCTCTTCACATTTGCATGCCTATAAGCCCTGTGTGTGTTCGTGATTGTGTTTCAGGCCTATGTGTGTGTAAAACAAAAACTATCTTCTTTCTAAATATGTTTTTACTCATAAACCCACAAGGACACATAAGAGTCAAAATACGAGGTTTAATTCTGAATCTCATTCTACCAGTATTTTTTAAAATTTATGGAATAAGATATTCATTTGGAAGTTGGCACAGACAATTATAGGCTATCTAATGTAGACACATACAAAACACACACACACACACACACACACACACACACACACACACACACACACACACAGGCATATTCATAACTTTACATTTTAATTTTAATTTGAATCCGGATCTCTAATGCACCAACAAACGTGACCTCCGTCCTTCCGGGAAGATATAAAGGGAGCGATTTACTTCTCCGTCATGTGAACTACATTTCCCATACGCCGCAGCCTCATTTACATTTCCCACAACCCCTTGCGTCACTCTACAGCTCACAGAAATAAGAAGGTCGCACTGAGAAGCTTTACACCGAGACAGAGAAGAAACCAGACTGCAGTCATGCTGGGACAAGCTGTGAGGCGATTCACGACCTCTGCCGTCCGTTCCTCACACTATGCCGAGGGACCGGGGCATGTAAGTTTGAGACTTAAGGCAGCGTTATTGTTAGAAATGTGACAGTGTCTGTAGCGGGCCTTGTCTGCATCCACAGCCTGACGCTAGCGAGCTAGCATCACTTGGAGGTCATGTCCGTCACTCGTCTAGAGCGAGAATGTAATAATAGCAAAACCAGACACAGACATAGACATATGTCCCTTACAAGGCAACAAAACATTTAAAGTTAATAGCAGCATTGTGTTTTTTTTTAACAAGATGTCTGGGAAGGCTACTTGTTGGTTCACATTAGCTTCGTGGCTAGTTATTAGCCAACCATAGCAATGCTACCGCGTTAGCAAACAACTTTAGCAAGTACGACACCTAAAGTTATCTGACGTTGTGTCATTCATTTAATGCGCCACAGGTGTCTCTGTAACACACAAATACACCCACAAACATTTACATTTATACCTTTTTTTTAATGGAGTTGTTCAGTAATGTTGCTTCCTGCTAACTGTAGTAACTTAAGGTCACAGCTGTATCCAAACAGGCAACCCTGGAGGAAGGTGCTCCTTATGTTTGGGGATTATTCGGATTACACTACCTGTTTCTATTTAAACATCCCTCACATTTTCTACCACTACTCTTTCTAGAAATAAATGAAAGTGAATGTAAATGTAATGGTTATTGATGCTGCATTTGCCTCTGATAAAACATTCTGTGGACACAAGTAATGGTGTTAAATGAACTGCACACCTTTTTTTTAATTATATTTTCTTTATGTAGTTTTGTACATATAACTAAAGAGCGTGGCGTTAATGCTGTATCTTTGTGCCCTCTGCCAGCAGCTCCCTCATTTTAATGCAGAGTATATTCTGTCACGTAAACTATGGGGCTCGACTCCCATAAAACCATTACTACAATTGGAAAGAGTGCAAAGTAAGCATACTTGGCCCCTTAGTCTTATGTTGAAGTATTTTATGTTATGTGCCAAATAATTCACTTTATTGTTCTGGATGAAATTTGTTCATTTGTTAAAATGCACTCCAATGAATCACATTAGCTGTCCAACTCACATATTTGGTGAAAGTATTTTTTTTAAAAGGGGGTGAAAACTATTTTTTTCAGTTTTAATTTCACAGGCAATCCCAGAGCTTTTAAATGCCATTTTTACTGCGAGCCATTCATTCATTTCTGACCCTCGCCTCCTTCTAGTATTTGGATGTATGATGAAGCTCTTTGCACAGATATCTTGCACATAGTGATGGTAACTTAAAAGTAAATCTGAAAATGCCCTGTTCATTGCATTGGGACAAATTTAAACGTGTAACAAATGTCCAAGTCAAGTGATATATATCAATAATAGTAAGGAATTACATCATCAAAAGAATTGCATTCATTTTCTTGGAGTTTCTTTTCATCGTAATGCTCTTGTCTTTTTTTACAGAACCTGCCATTTTCCGTGGAGAACAAGTGGCGTCTGCTCGGCATGATGGTGGTGTTCTTCGGCAGTGGCTTTGCATTCCCCTTCATTGTCGTCAGACATCAGATCCTGAAGAAGTAAAATGGCCCTGTGCTATTACACAGCCATCAAGGTAATTATGACCGCCATGTTTCTCTAGCATATCTGCTTTCATTAAAATGTCAGGATGATGTGGCATTTACTTCAGCCTTGGTTTGAACAGTGACCTCAGACAATGACAGTCCTTCACACTGCGTCTTTAGCCTTTTGCTCAGTGGCATATCTTAAATAAATTACCTGTATATCTGAGAGTGAATAACAAATGTCATGTGGGTTTATACTGACGCTGTGTTGTTTAGATAAGCTTTCACCTTAGCAAGTTAATGTGACAGTTCGTTGCAGACATTGATGTGTATCAGGTGGGAGCCGGTCAGAGTTGTTGTTGTCACATTTATCTTTACTGGTGTTTACTCAGAAATTGCTTTTTTGTCATCAGATGTATGCAAGTCATCTTATCACTTTTTGCCCCATTTCCTTGTTCTCCCTGCAGGTTGTCAGCTGGAACATATTTATCCATCAGAGTTCTATCCGAGCAGAAGAATGGAAATCTCTTAATTGTCTTTGTAAATAAAGTTTCCTCAAATATGAACATGTCTGTTCTTATCTTTTGCTATACTAGACTATGCTTTACATGTAATAGCCATTATATGTAAAGGTAAAAGCTTCTCACTTTTAGCTACCCAACAGACTTGATTCATTGTAACATACTTAAGAAAATGTTATTACATAAGCGAAGATAATTTGTCTGTGTCCTAGACGATGAAGCTGGTGAGAATCTTTTTATAGTAACCAAACATTCTGTATTTAGCTTTTTAATGAATATAGCCAGCAGTGCTTAGTTTGATTTCTCCTTGTACCTTTATGATATCCACAAAAAGTGCTTCTCCGAATTTATGAATGCCATTGCTAACAGCAACTTTATTCTAGTACTTAATAGATCCCTAAAGATTAATTAAATATGTAGCCTTATGGCGTAAAGTCAACATATTGTAAAAATAAAATGAACAGTGAACCCATAACTTGGGATACTTAAATCCTTTGTTGCTGGCAAGCTAAAGTGGAAATTGAACATCAGTGTGAGGGCTCCAGAATCCAGTCCTCCACTTCTGATAGGTATTGTGCCCTCACCCTATAGCTCAGCTATTCAGCTTAACTCTACTGAATAACCTATTTCAATTCAATTAACCCTTTGCTTCTGGCTATAATTATCCAAGGACAATGTATTAAAAAGGGAGGTGTGGCTGCTCAGTTAGGGAGGAAGTGGAATGTAAAAGTTAAGAGGTTTTCTATGCACCTCTATTCAGGTCTACCTTACGCCTGGAGTCATTTTTTAGAAAACGGCTAAGGTTGGTTTTTCGTTTGCTCATGCTGTATAGCAAAGATGTGCCTGGATTGGCCTTAAAACACATGCAGAGACATACGGGGACAAGCTGTACGCATGAGAAACAACCTGCTGTATACCCTTTGTAAACCCTCCCCTGATATTCACATGCACACAACACACAGCAACTTGTAAACCTGTCAGGTGATTTTGTGTTCTCCTGCATTTATAATGATGTTATACTGTCTGTGCCTCTGGGCTTCCTGGGTGGAAGAGCATTCAGGTCGTGCAGCTCTTGCTAGGTGGTGATAAAGTTATCAGACATTTTAATGGGGTCAACAAGTGGGAGTCGATATTTCATAGGTGTGTCGTATTGTCTGCGCTTAGAATAGGTTGACCTTTGTTAGTAGCTCAAGGGTAGGGAGAGATGCTTTTCTGGTCAAACACACTACTCAACACATAAACATGACACCCTGCATTATACTAAGCATGCGCTCACACACTGCATTTTTAAATCTTCAGATGCCTGATACTAAAGCACACAGTTAACACCTGTCTGTGATGTATGTGTGTCATATACACACATCTGAGGCGAATATAATTTGGTCTCATCAGCATCGAACAGACTTCTTTATGCTTACATGCACCTTGAAGTGATAGCTCAATACAGGAAGTCAAGAGCAGTGTCATTTCCACAAGTGGAAAACGGGAAAGCGCCAACACTGTGATGAATGTCACTGTCATTCCGCTCAGTGATATCTCAATCATTTTTCTGTTTACCAAAAAAAAGGGGAAAAAAATCAATGCTCAATCAGCCTTATAATCCTTTCTCAAAATAGTCCTTATCAGTAGCCTATACAATGAAGCATCACGATTAATTGTGTAAGCCTGCTTTAGTTGATGTCCTTGAGCTCCTGACATGAGCCACACTTCATAGTGCAGATCACTCTGCTCTGTTTGCAGTGAAAGAGAGAGCTCTTAAATACCATTAGAGAAAAATAAGCCTCATTGAAGTGATAACCCATCCAGAGTCTATCTTTTGAGTATCGAACACTTGCCCCCATAGGCTTGAAATGTGGCTGTAAAAAGTTAGCGCCACCATTCCTCACATCCAGCATGCCAATTAAAAGACTGCAGCAAGTTGTGCTATTTTTATCCTTGAACAGATGATAGTCTTGTCCAGTAGGATGGTTGGGTTCCATGTTATTACTGTAGGTGTACATTTAAAAGTTCCACTTTTTGTGCTGTGAACTCTTGACAGTATGGCACAGGCTGAACAGAACTGCCAGCAGCTACTTTCAATTTTACAAATGGTTCACTTGGGTGCTACAATACACTCCGGCACTCAGAGTGCTAATTTAGGAACGTCCCCAACATTTGCACCCTTTTGCAGAAAAAGAGGGAGATTATAAAGAGACCCGCAATTGCTCCCCCTGAGAGGACAAATTTAGACTGGCATTGAGACTTTTAAGAGATCAGGTCTGAAAAGGAGTGCCACATTATCTGGGCATCAGAGAATAAAAAAAACATGCACTAAGCAGTTGGCACTTTTTTAAAAATCATAAATGATTGATCTATTCACTGCCATTATCCTGCTAACAGGAGCTTTTAAGAACCCTAGTTGATGCCAGACTCCAGCAGTGAGGACCAATTAGACACAATGGTGTTATCTGGACAAGGACCAAGCTGCAGTGCAGTACTGGCAACTTATGAAAAGTACATAAGGGTCTGCTGGCACAGGCCATGTTGTAGGAGGGGTCCTATGGTGCCCACAATAGTCTACATCACACATTTTAGATGGGCTTGCCATACCTCCACTGCGTGGCACTTTGAGCGGCTGCAGGAAGGAAGCAGGGGGGGGAGACAGAAAAAGAATACATTACAGGAGGATTACGCACCCAGCATGCCAAGTCTCTTGCAGGAGTTTGTCATGCTGCATTTAGTATGTAAGTGTGGGGGGAAATGAAAGAGTGAGGGAGTGCTATTGTGTGGTTTTTGTGAGGTTTGCCAGAGTTTACGCCTTCATTATAGCCAATATCTGGTAAATTCATTATTGTAATTGCTGTTCCAAATGCTTTACATTCCCTGGTGCACAGACACTAATTAAAACAAAGTGTAGTCATTAAAGATCAATTCCATACCAGCTTATCACCATTCAGTGATTGTTAAACATCATGCATGCTAATAAAATGAAGAGGTTACCTACAATTACTGCATTGCACACAACTACAAAGGTGAAAGCCTCTACATATATGTGGTAATGCCTCGGTTATAGCATTACAGTTTTTTTTATTTTTCCCCTTTATCCGCCTAATTTATATAGATTTATATCTTCTTGCAGATATGTAAATCACCTTATTTGCAGTATTTGTGGCCTTTCATTGCAGCCTCTGTAGACTGTTCAATAATAGACTTTTCTGCATCTCACGTGTGGAATCTAATTATAGACTCATTTGCACTTCAGAGGAGAAGATAGTGAGCTTAGCCTGGTGTAAAGCATGCACAGCCATCTAATAAAAAGACTCGACATTTTATTGAATCCCCTCAGTTAGAGGCACATTTCAAATCCAGCCACAGTATTATAGTCAGACAATTGCATTTGTAACTGTTAGTTGGTGTGAGCGGACTCATTTGTGATTGACAGTTATATAAACATTTACTTACTCTGAATGAGAGTGGGTGCCTGACAAACACTCTACAGACTAAATTACCCCTCTGGGTGAGTTGGATGAGCACTAATCATCACCGTTATAAATGTTTTGCACAGCAGCGCTTCATTGTACCGACCAATCACATCCAAAACCAGGGGGAGCTCTAGATGTGGCCCACCCATCATATCAGCATGATGACAATAAGAGGTGAAAGCAGCTGTCTCCAGTTGCTGCACAACACCCTGACACTGCACTGTCAGTCAATAAAGTTTCAAGGACACGCTGAACTCCCCAAGTTTTCTGCTAAGCCCATCCTCTTTTCCTACCTTCTCTGTTTACCACGCTCTACCTCAAAGATGCTGAGTTGTGGAGAAGTGCGGAACTGTCAGTGCAGGAAGATGAAGTGTACGTGCACCTCCCACTTCGTCAAGAGTATAGGGCTCTACTGCCTCAGCCAGGAACTCTACACAATTAGTCCAGAACCTCCAGGGGGATGGCTGTTCATAGGAGATGAATGCTCGGAGGATACCGAGTCCACTCATATGTGTGTATGTGTGCGTTTTTGTATGTCACTGAGAAGCACAAGAGAGATTTAAACACTTCATGACATTTAACAGATGGGAAAAAATAAAACAGTCTCATCAATTCTAACAAAACTGAGAGTATCGAAAAGCTTCAGTGTCAGAAGAGCAGATGATTATACAATAGAGATAACTGCACCCTTTCTGAGCATATTACTCTCAGTACCCTTTATCATTCATTAATGTTGCAACACCTTTGCTTAGAGAAAAATGTATGCACTCCACCACCTCAAGGAGACCTGCCCCCCCACACACACACACTTTTTTTTTTTTTTCAACAGTAGCAGATCAGAAAGATGTTGCCAAAGGAGAAAAATATGTCATATGTCACTTTTACGCATTCAGTCTGATATGAAAATAAAAGGGCGCAGAGACCTGGCAGGGACCCCAGTTGAGATCTGACACAGGCATAATCTCTACATCCCCTCCAGCCCACTTAACTCCCCAGAACAGACTTCAGTTCAATAATGTAACACTACACACTGCCAGAGTTAATGGTAGCAAGTTTCAGGGTGAAAAAGTTTTCATTTTAAATAATCATGCCCACTTCAGTCCAAGCTCTTCCACATCAAGCCTTATGGTAATGCCTCTGAAGGGTCGGATGTGGATGGATGTGATGGATGTGTACAATACACTGTGCATTTTGAATTTATTTCTGTTCCCTCTCAATGAAAAGGATATATTTTTATCTTACATTTTACCAGCTGCCTGTTATAAAAGAAAATATGTTTTGGCATATGTAAAACTCAGCTAAATCAAGAGGTTTTGAGCTCTTCGTCTGGGGGTAGTGTATCTGGTCTGCATACCAGGCTTGTGACTGAACACTGATTTGAATTTGATTTTAATAAAATTCCCTCCATGTTTTATTCCTATAAAAGTTACATTGTGTCTTGTTCAATTCATCATAACGAGCGACCAGGCCAGCAATTCATATTTTCTAAATATCTTCGTTGTTTAGCTTGTTATACCCATTTATTATACAATATAATGTTTTTTTTATGAAAAAGAGCAGAACATCCACAGAGATGTTACATAT